TTCTATTCTCTTCCTATTCTCTCTTCTCTTCTATTTCTCTTCTTTTTCTCTTCTTTTTTCTTATGATTCTTGACAAATATGTTTATTTTTTCTCTTATGTATACTGAGAGCTTATGCACCAAAGACAGATTCCTTGTGCGTCCAATCACACTTGGCCAATAAAGAATCCTATTCTATTCTCCTATTTCTATTCTATTCTGTCTTCTCTTCAATTTCTCTTCTCTTCTGATTCTTGACAAATATATACTTTATTTTTTCTTTTATGTACACGGAGAGCAAATACACCAAGACAGATTCCTTGTGTGTCTCATCACACTTGGGCAATGAAGAGTCCCGTTCTATTCTAAGCTTGAGGATTACCTGTGCAGACCTGGGAGAGGGTCTTCGAGAGGGGTCCTCCAGGCTGCTGGGAGAAACCCTGCCCTAGAGGGATTTGGGTTGGTCCTGTCTTCTTCCCCAAACCCATCCTTGTCCCCATCTGGGAAAACCTTTCGAGAAACGTCTGCCTTTTTCTAACCGCCTCCCTTTCCAGATGCCCCACATCTTAAAGAGCCCCCCCTGGCTTCGCCCGCCAATGGCCAGCTGGGACCGAAGACACTCTGCCTTTGTCCTTTTAATCCTCTGCCCTCCCCCTGCCCATTATCCTATCCTTCCCATCCTGCGACCTACACCCCTCCCTTCCCCAATTTTCCAGAATTGTGAGACGCAGGGAGCACAGAGCAGCCATTGTTTAAAAAGAAAAAGGAAAAAAGGTCTCGGGAGAAATTAGCCACGGGCTCGGAGGAACAGCTTGGGAGAGCCTGTGCTTTGGACTGAAAGCCATCTGTGTGTGTTGTGTGTTCGTCTCATGCAAGGGAGCAGAAAGAGAGATGGGGTGCGGTGGATGTCATTGTGGGGGGCCCCCCTTCAGCTCAAAACCCAGTTAAGGCAGTGCCCAAAGGTGTTTTTTTTTTCCCAAGAGACCACTGGATTTTTTGGTTTTTCCTTGAAGAGGTTTCACTCCTCATTTGAGAAGCTTCTTCATTTCTGAAGAAGCTTCTCAGATGAGAAGCGAAACTTCTGAAGAGCTGAAGAAGCTCCTTGGATGAGAAGCGAAACGTCTTCAGGAAAAACCAGAAAGTCCAGTGGCCTCTTGGAAAATAAAAAAGCACCTTTGGGGCAACCAGGACCCGGAGGAATGAAAATCTCCGTAGCTATTTAAGGCAGTCAAACTATGCTCCTCGGCTTACGACAGCAGTCGGCACAAGGATTTTGATTGCTAAGCGGGGCGGTCGCTAAGTGAGTTTTGCCCATTTGGGGGATCTTGTGTACCACAGTGAAGCAAATAGCTGAAGTTGTGAAGCGAAGCCTGTGGTTGCTAAGCGAATCCAGCTTTCCCCCTGGACTTTACTTGGGTGTTTAGTCGTGCTGGACAAATGACCACAGAAATTATCTTCGGACACTGGCTCCCGCAAGCAAGAAACAGGGATTAACCTGACCAACAGGGAAACCTTTTCCTTTTAGAGTTTGTCCTCAATTTATTCATCTAGTGACTGTTCAAAGTTATGATGGCTCTGAAAAAATAAGACTTTTGACTGTTTTCCAATTACGACCTTTGTAGCATCCCCACAATCACGGGTCAAAATTCACATGCTTGCCAACTGGTTCATACTTATGACCGTTGCTGCATTCCAAGGTCAACTGATCCTCTTTGGCCTCCTTCGGACGAGCGACATCGAACCAAGTTACCAACTTATCAACTGCGGCAATTCGCTTTAACAACTGTGTCAAGGAAGGTCGTAAAAGAGGGCAAAACCTGCCTGACAAAATGGCTCAGTTATCCCTGGAAACGTTGGACTCAGTTGTGGTTAGAAGTCAAGGACTACTTGTAATGACAACAATTTGTGGTCTCAGGTGTGTAATCCAGCATCTTAGCCAGTCCACCGTATGCATAAATATGCACTTATGCACCATATGTATAAGTGCACCATCGTACCTATCCTCCCTGTCCTATTGTCCCCATTTATTTGTACCTATTTCCTGTATTCTTACTCATGTTTATACCTATACCTATTATCTTGTAAGCGATTGACAAATCAAATAAAATAAAAAATAAAAGAAGGAAGGAAAGAAGGGGGAAGGAAGGAGAACAGGGAAGGGGAAGGAAGGAAGGAAGGAAGGAAGGAAGGAAGGAAGGAAGGAAGGAAGGAAGGAAGGAAGGAAGGAAGGAAGGAAGGAAAGAATACCTGTTTCTAGTCTGTAAGGGGCGTGCGTAAGTGCACCACCGTGCCTATTGTCCCTCTCCTATTGCCCCCATTTATTCGTACCTATTTCCTTTATTCTTACTCATGTTTATACTTATACTTATTATCTTGCAAGCGATTGAAAAATCAAATATATAAACAAATAAAAATAAATAAAAATATTGGCTGGCTCTCTGGCAAACGAGACCCAACAGGCTGGGAGAAAAAGACCGTTTTCTGCCTGCGTCCCCTTCCCCAATCCATGAGGCTACTGCAGAGGAGGGAGGGGGGGGCTGCACGTATCCGCCAGCCTGTGTTTAATCCCAACAGATGGCCTTTCTTTCTGCGGCATATTCCCCAGGACAGCTGCGAAAAGGGGAGTAAGGAGATGGAGTGGCCCCCTCCCCCAAATAAATGTCTTAACGGGCATGCTCAAGCTGATCAGGAAAAGTATAAGCAGGATTTGAGGCCAGTGAGAGCGAAGGAGGTCTGGGGAAACAGGCCTAGGGGTTAAAGTGAGAATACGAGAGAAAATTCCTGAAACCAATGATTTTTTTGCAAAGAAAATTCCTTGAATTTGCCTGTGAAATCGTGCTTGGAGTTGTACTTAATTCAAGACTAGTATTTCTCAACCTGGTCAACTGTTAAGATAGCTGGACTTCAATTCCCAGGATTCCCCAGCCAGCATGCTCTAAGATGGGTGGACTTCAATTCCCAGGATTCCCCAGCCAGCATGCTCTAAGATGGGTGGACTTCAACTCCCAGAATTCCCTGGTCAGCATGCTGGAAGGTAGACGGACTTCAACTCCCAGGATTCCCCGGCCAGCATGCTTTAAGATGGGTGGACTGCATTTCCCAGAATCCCCTAGCCAGCATGCTTTAAGAGATGGACTTCAACTCCCAGAATTCCCCAGCCAGCACATTTGCTGAGGAATTCTGGGAGTTGAAGCCCACTCATCTTAAAAGCTCACCAGGTTTATTTTTTCCTTTTAACACCCACTCAGAAAGGGGGAGAGGACAAGAACTCCAGAATCTCTGACTTTTATTTACAAAACAATCCGTTTCTGAGCTCCAACCACAAAGATGCAAAAAAACAAACAAAAACCAACCAACCACAGAGGGCAGATTTTTTAGGGTAAAGCGACGGCGAGACCGAGAAAGTATTTTTTTTAAAAAGCCAAGGGAAAAAAAGAAAGGGGGGCATTTCAGAACTTGAATTCCTTGTACTTTTTGGCTCCGGCTCGGCTGTCCTGCGGCTGTGCTTTCCGCTTCTTTTGCTAAAGGGAAAAATAAATACAAAAAGTTGGGGTGTGTTTATGATTGGATTCCCAATTTCTTTTTGTTCTCTGTGACCGGGGAATTCTCAATTCCCTTCCACTAGCCCACCAATCTCCCTCTTGACCAGTGCAGCATCTCTGCTCCAGGCTGCGGTGTGAGATTTTCCCAGCATCCTTTGAGGACCCTGAGCCGAAGAGTCTGACTTGATTCACCTATTAAAAACAGGCGCTATACGGGCTTCCATTCGCCGGCAAAACTGCTCCACTCCACTCTGGGGTTTGATTTCTTTTTAGCACAGGCCGGTGGTCTCACCTGGGGGAGCCCAGAGGATGGCCAGACGGTGCAAGGGGTCCTCTGGTTAACATAGGGCAGTGATGGCGAACCTTTTGGCTGCGGTGTGCCAAAAGCGTGTGCGTGCCAGCACCCACAATGCAATGCGCCCTGCCTCCCTGTGCATACAACACCCCCCTTACCTGCATTGCGCAGGCGTGCACCTCCCAGCTGATTTTTGGCTTCTTTGAGACTTTTTTTTGCCCTCCAGGAGGCTTGAGGGAAGCCTCTGCAGCCTTTGGAGGCTGAAAAACAGGCCCGTTTTGGCAGTTAAATGGACCGAAAATCAGCTGGGAGGCGCATGCATGCGCGGTGCAGGTAAGTTTGGCTGAGGCTCGTGTCACCTGTGGCACGCATGCCATAGGTTTGCCATCACAGATATAGGGGGAGGGGAGAGCCCCATTGGACAATGGGAAGCAGGGTGAATGCTGCCCTTTGGAGGGTCCCAGGACCCTCGGTGGGTTACAGGCAGAGGGGAGCCAACCCCAAGATTGAGAAGGCAAAGGACCCAACTGCTTCCAGCCATGCCAAGCTGTAAGATTGATGGGCGGGATGAACGTTTGTTTTTTTATTCCATGGCTATCGATATCCCTGCTTTTAAAATGTGTCAAGCTGGAAAGACTAGAAGAAATCAAAAATGAAATTCAAGGATCGCATGAGGCTATCTTGCATCCGATTCGGAATGGTATCTTTTCGAAAGAGCAAAAATTGAACTAGAATCCGACAGAAAAGCATTAAAACGTTTTCAAACGCAGTTCTGGAAAAATAAATTAAAGCTGAATTTTTTAAAAGAGGCTGCCACCTGGGGAAGCAACGGAGCAGAGGAAATATTTTGGATCTCTCTCACTGAACATTTCCCTGTCTCCAAGAATTGGAGCAGGGTGGGAAGACTACGGATGAAGCTTTTCATAGCAATAGCACTAGCAACAGCCCTTAGGCATATTTCGCTTCACAGTGCTTTTACAGCCCTCTCTAAGCAGTTTACAGAGTCAGCCTCTTGCCCCCAACAATCTGGGTCCTCGTTTTACTGACCTAGAAAGGACGGAAGGCTGAGTCAACCTTGAGCCTGGTGAGATTCGAACTGCCAAATTGCAGGCAGCCAGTAGGCAGCATAAGTTGCCTGCAATACTGCACTCGAACTACTGCGCCAACGTGGCTCATAGCTATTAGAACAAGGGTCTTCCAACTTGGCAAGTTTAAGACTTGTGAACTTCCAAGTCCCAGAATTCCTGAGCTAACATGACTGGAGGAGGAGGAATTCTGGGAGTTGAAGTCCACAAGTCTTCAAGCTGCCGAGTATGAAGACTCCTGATCTATCACCTATCAATCTATCATCTCTCTCTCTCTCTCCGTACCTATCTACCTATTTATCTACCTACCTACCTATCTATCTTCTATCTATCATCTATCATAAGGGTCTTCCAACTTGGCAAGTTTAAGACTCGTGGACTTCAACTCCCAGAATTCTTGAGCTAACATGACTGGAGGAGGAGGAATTCTGGGAGTTGAAGTCCACGAGTCTTAAAGCTGCCGAGTATGAAGACCCCTGATCTATCACCTATCAATTTATCATCTCTCTCTCTCCCCCACCCCGCCATGGTGCAGGAGGCCAGCTAGGCCATGCCCACTATGGCCACACCCACCCAGCAACCGGGCAGAGATCCCGTTGCTAAAACTTTTTGAAGCCCACCCCTGCGTCCAGGGATACTCACTGCCACCTCCTGCCTCTTTTCTCTGGCACCATTTTGCCTAGCTAGAGTGAATAACAGAGTTGCAGGGACTTTAGAGGTCTTCTAGTCCAACCTCCTGCTCAGTCAGGAAACCTTATACCATTCCAGACAAATGGTGGTCCAGCCCATTTTGGAAAAACCTCCAATGATACAGCACCACGATTTCTGGTGGCAAGGCGTTCCACTGGCTAATTGGTCTCACGGTCAGGAAACCCCGCCTTTAATTCCAGGTTGCTTTCTCTCCTTGGTTAGTTTTCCACCTGTGGCTTCTTGCCCCGGTTAACAAAAATTCGTGGGGTCTTTTCCCCTTTGTTTCGATCTTAGGGTGTCGCTCCAGTTTGAGGGATTGAAGGCGCCTCCGCTCACCTTCTGCTTGGCCGCGTGCTCGGCCACCATGTCGCTGAAGTCCTCCTTCTCCACTTGGGCCTGCTGCTCTCTCACGTGCTCCTCGTACTTCTGGGTCATGGCCATGGGATCGAGCTCCAACTCTTCGGGCGCCAGGGCGACCTCCACCCCTTGGATTTCGGGGACCGGCCCTTTGCGGCTCATAACCTGCAAGGGTGGGGGGGAGAGAAAGAAGACGGGAGATGGGAAGGGGGAGGCATTAGATCAGGGATGAAGAAGGAAGTCAGGTCCACCCCATTAAGAGCCCTTTAAGCTACGACGGTTCTAGGAACGGTACCTGAAGGTTACAGTAAAGAACTATTTACAAAGTCTACTATTACTATTAACCTTCTCATCGCTCCTTGTCGCCCATCCCCTCCCACTTGTGACTGTATGACTGTAACTTTGTGGCTTGTACCCTTACGATTTATATGGACTGTTTCCTAGTATGATTTGATTGCTTATTGTACCCTGTGACTATTATTATTATTATTAAGTGTTGTACCTGATGATTCTTGATGAATGTCTCTTTTCTTTTATGTACACTGAGAGCATTTGCACCAAGACAAATTCCTTGTGTGTCCAATCACACTGGGTCAATAAAGAATTGAATTCTGTTCTGTTCTGTTCTGTTCTGTTCTGTTCTGTTCTGTTCTATTCTATTCCATTCCATTCCATTCCATTCCATTCCATTCCATTCCATTCCATTTTCTATTCTATTCTCTCTTCTATTCTCTCTTCTATTCCATAAAATACATTTTTCCCCGAACGCCATCATTCTGCTAAACAAATAATTCCCTCAACACTGTCCAACTATTTACAAAGTCTACTATTATTATTAATCTTCCCATCCTTCAATTTCACCCATCCCCTCCCACTTGTGACTGTATGACTTTAACTTTTCTTTTATGTACACCGAGAGCATATGCACCAAAGACCAATTCCTTGTGTATCCAATCACACTTGGTCAATAAAGAATTCTATTCTATTCTATTCTATTCTATTCTATTCTATTCTATTCTATTCTATTCTATTCTATTCTATTCTATTCCTTATTCTATTCTATTATTTCTATCCTTTATATTCTATTCTACTACACTCTATTCTTATTCTATTCCTTATTCTATTCTATTTTATTCTATTCTATTCAGAATAAAGAATTCTATTCTATGTATTAACAGCAGCTAGAATTGTACTTGCTTAGAATTGGAAAAGCGATAAGACACTGATAGAGGGAAAAGTAATTGAAAAAGATATTTGAATGTGCAGAAATGAATAGATTAACATTAGAAATGAAAGAAAAAGAAGAATCTGAATATTAGATGGTATGGGATTTGTTTTACCAATGGTTAGAAAATAAAACAAATTAAAGTAGACTAGACGTATTCATCAAGCAATAAGAGAAGCTTGTGAAATAGATATACTGGATATTACTGATCTGGGAATGTGATTATGTTATATTGAAAAGAAAGAGTATTATTATTCATTGTAAGCACCTGAAAGATGAACCTAATCAACACATGATTGAAATGGAATGGATTTATTGTATGTAAAAATTAATATATATACGATGGTTTGTTGGGCAGCTTAAGGGCAGATCTGTAGTTGGCAGGCACTGCCATGAACGTTCGGGTGCCTTCACACCAGAGGGCACCAATTTTTTGTGAGCAGTGTCAGAAATCATAAACAGTAGGTTGGCTTAAAAAGCAGAGTTACAGCAGGATGAAATGGAAGGTTTTGTGATTCATAGCATTGCAGTTTCTCTAATGTGACAGCCTGAAGAGGGGTGGATTTCAACTCCCAGAATTCCCCAGCCAGCATCTGGGAGTTGAAGTCCACCCATCTTCAAGCTGCCAAGGTGGAGAAACAGGGCTTTAAGGAATCCAATCTCCCACCTTCAATGTGAGAATATAAGTTTTCTTTTCTTATTAAATCGGGGTTGGGTTTGGCGTGGGAACCCAGACTACATATGTGGAAGGATATAGATTATATAAAATTAAACGAGCATGTTCTTCCCCGTCTTAATTTCAAGAAAACAAGTTTCTTTCTTCACCATTGGACAGACCAGAAAAAGTCAAGGGCACAGGCAATCCCGGGGGTTAATTATGGGATTTGTCATCCAATCCATCTGGAATCGTGTTTCAAGCAGCTTTAAAAGGCTGTGCGAAGAGTTCACTCTGCTGAATTAGAGGCGTGCGTGTCGTTCAGGGGTGTCAAACCCAATTTCGTTGAGGGCCACATCAGGGTTGCGTTTGACCTTGGGGAGGCTGGGGGGACTTGGCTAGGAGGGGGCATAGCCAAGAGGTGGTATTCAGCCAGTTTGGACCAGTTCTGGAGAACCAGTAGCAGAAATTTTGAGTAGTTTGGAGAACCGGCCAATACCGCCTCTGACTGGCCCCACCCCCATCTATTCTCCACCTCCCGAGTCCCAGCTGATTGGCTGGGTCTTCTTTGGTTGCCCTGCACAGGAGAATGGAGCTGCAAAGCAGGTTAGTGGGGCGGGGAGGGAATGGGGGTTTTACAGTAACCTTCCCCTGCCATGACCACCAAACCACCCCTTCAGAACCGGTAGTAAAAAATTTTGAATCCCACCACTGGTATATAGGGCCCATCTTAAAGTAAAAAGAGAGACCGATCCAATCCTTACTGTGGCCATGTCGTAGATATGGGTGGATCCCATCATGGCACCCCCAACCGTTGGCATCCGCTTCTCCGGCAGAACCGTGAATAGTTGGGGCGTCTCGCTTCTGTGGGGGGCAGAGAATTTTGGAGCAGGAAATAAAATAAAAATTAAAAAACCACCACCACCATGCCATACTGTTATAAGAATTACATAGGGAGGGATTAAATTACAAGTCTTTTTGTGGAGTTTTCATGTTGTGCACTGCCTGGAGTCACTGTGAGTTGGGCAGGTATATGCATTTGTTAATAAAATAAAATAAAAACAAAAAAATAAAACAAACCATATTGTGTTAGGGGGAAAATGTCCCTCGAGCTTTCCTTTATCCTCCCCTCTGCTCTTCCCTCTAGTGTTGTCTTCAAAGTTCAAACCTTTATTGTCAATGCACAACATGTGTGCAATGGAATTGAGTGAGACTCCTTTGGTGCAGTCCCCACCCAAGAACACGGATTACATCTCCAAAAAAATCAATAAAAAGAAATCCCTAGCCCCAGGTAAGTAGTAAACTAGCACACATTTCCCCTTACGTAGAAGTCTATCACATTAAGCCTGATTGTGATGTTATATTGCGTTTAGTATCTTTCAGGATCGTCTTGTTGTTACCGAGTTATTTCTTTGAAAGGCCAACAAAATGTGTGAAGGAATCAATGGAGTGACCCTCTAGATAGATCTCTCCAAACTCAACTTCTTCTCCACCAAAGATGGTTTGCTAGTCCCCAAGAGGAGAGAAGGGATCTGAAGAGAGCCAATTTACCCATCCATGGCTTCCTCGATCTTCTTCTTACGCAGCTCAATCAGCTCTGGGGTCTCCATGCCGGCGGGCACGGAAGAGAAGCCGCCTGGTGTGATTAGGCCGCTAGAGGAAGAAGAGGAAAAAGTGAAGTCAGAACCAGGAGGAAATTAACTGGAGTCAACCAAGAGGTTCAGGAAGTCACCTATTTGGGGTGGGGGGAATCATACCATGCACCGAATCCTAAAGAAGTCACCTGGTCTAGCCAAATTGCCCAACAGGCTGGTAGAAAACAGGACAAGTATCAACTTGCAAAACAGTCCTATGCCTGCTTCGAAGTTGCCATGAGAAAGGTGGCGTGGGGGGCTGAAGGAGCACACGGCAAATAAAATCAGAGAAGCACATTCCAAGCTTATCTCACAAAGATTGCAACTTAGGCAACCGGGTATACTGCCCTCGAAAATCCTTTTGTGATGACCCAGGGTGGGATACAAAATAAACACAGTCACAAAAACAGGTGAAGCCCCTTTTATTCCTTCACTTTGCTCCAAAATCCTTGGGAGTCAAAAAACTCCCCCACAAACAGTTACGAAAAGAAGTTAATGCCTAGTTTAAACTAAAAATGCCTATAAATTATAGAGAGGAAAAACAACCCAAACCACACTGAAGCAGTTCAGGGAACCGGACAAAGATAAGGGCTTGAAGACGTCTACAGATATCGGAACACACACTGGGAAGGACGCCAAACTCAGAGAGGAACAACAGACGAGAGATATTTCCATGCTTTGTTTCCAGCACTGGCCCATACGCATGTCCGTCCTTTTAACCAGTTCTCACAGCTGCAGCCCATGAAGAGGATCAAGGCTCTTTCCTCCCCCTTAGACCACCCCATTCACGTCTTTCCCTGATCCTCTCCTCCCTGCGTGCCCTAGGATGAGAGGGGAAAGGCCTGGGTCTTCCTCTGACTGCCCAGCCGGCCTCTGCCCTTCCCCAGCCTCCTCCACAACCACTGGAGCCACACTTCCACTCCTAGTTGGCTGTTCCTCCTCTCCCTCGGAGTCAGCTTCCACCAGGGGCATGACACCTTTATTGGGGAAAGTGAGTGATGACACCCAGCACATGAAGGTGTTTTGTTGGAGAAGCTGAATTATGATACACCCAGGGGAGTGGAGGAAGGAATTGTAAATTACGTGTCTCAGAGTTGGCTTCATACAGGTTATGCCGACATGTCGCTCCTAATAAATCTTTTGAAGTTTTTTGAAGCTTGGCTTGAGGTTTATGACTTAATTAGGGCAATCCCCGGAATCCTGACAACAAGGAGCAACGGGTGAAAGAACATTAAAGAGAGGTTCAGCCAGGAACTAAGAGGGATTGCCTGACAGTGAAAACAATTCACCAGTGGGAGGGCTTCCCGTCCTGGGGCTGTGGGTGCCCCATCGTTGGAGGCTTTCAAAAGTAGACCGGACAACCATTTGACTGGGATGGTGTTGGACTAGAAGATCTCTAGGGCCCTTCCAACTCAGTGATGCGATAATTCTGAAGCTCAACGTGGGAGGCTTTCAAAACTAGCCAGGACAACCAGGATAGTAGAAGATCTCCTGCTTTGAGCAGGGGGCTGGACTAGAAGATCTCCAGGGTCCCTTCCAACCTGGTTATTCTGAAGCTCAGCTGATAGGCGATTCAGGAAGAGAGCGGGAGGCTGCCGGTGCTTGTCTGGGCTCATAGAGGAGTGGCCAATCCCACCCCAACATTTCCTTCCTAGGGACTGTCCTGACTTTGAGCTTCCCATGGGGATTTGGATTCTTTTACTGTCACATCCCCCCTATTTGGAAATCCACACACACTCCAATCCCACGTACAGACAGAGCCTGACCTATCGGCAGGGGTGATGAAGCCCGTCTCGTCTGGCTTCTCCTCGTCCGTATCCTCGTCTTCTTCCTCCTCTGAGGATTCTTCGTCGGACGGCTCCAGTTCCCCCCAAGGGGTCCGGTCTATCTCTTCTTCTTCGGTCTTAGCCTGAGGGAGAGAGGAAGATAGAATGGAGGGAGGGAAGGAAGGAAGGAAGG